GTACCGTTTTTTTTTTTTTTTGTTTTTTTTTTCATTGTACAGTATCGCAAAAACTAGAGCAGTCTCAAAATAAAAAATCTTTCAACTTATATTTTGACGCCTTTTGAATTTCTTTTTAGGATTCAAATGTGTATCATAACATAGGGCCTGCTAATTATTGAGTCGTTTACTCTATTCATGATACATGCATCCAATAGAAAGCTCAATATTGAAAAAAATAATATTGGTCATTTAATTCGCATCACGAAAATGGGAACATAACATAATTGTAGTTTTGATTACATTACTGCTGATTTCATATTGACGGTAAATGGATTTTGCATTGAAAATTATAAATATAAATTAGTTTTACTGTAACTCACTTTTAGGTCAATATAAATATAATTTTGTAATTTTGAAAACATTATACCAACACCCCTAATAACGGTACAATTTCACGCTTTGGTTTGTGTCCCTTGAGTAAGGGTACCCTTATCTTATTTAGAAGTCCAAAAGGGCCCCTGATTAGGGGTTCTACTTTATATCGAAGTGCTGTAATGTCTTGTAACAACAATATAATTTGATAAACATACTTATTAAAGAAAATAATTATCTAAAACAGATTTTCAATTTAATTTTCATGATTTGTTGATTTCCATCGGTTTATTCTGACCGTGTTAATTCTGACATTGGTTTCTAACACCTTGTCATGTTTTTGATTCCATAATGCCCGCTAATTTAGTAGGCACGAAGGCGTAAATGGGGAGGGGGACAGAGCTCGTCGGGCAGTCAGACCACAAAACATATAAAAATAGGCCAACACCAAGCCAACACATGTCTGTCACAGTCTGAGAGTGCCATTTTCGGCCATCTAGAGGTTGACATTCTTTAAAAAGATCTCATTTGGGAGGGGAACCCTCTCTCAACCCCTTCTGCCAGCTCGAGCCTACGAGCTCAAGTCCCCCTGTCGGTTAGCCCCCCCTAGAAAATATATCCTAGAGCCGCCACTGGAACTGAGGACGACCCATGGGTTGCCGATCGTAGAATTAATAAATAATTAGTATATTATAAATAGATTTTATTATGACTGTATAACAGTTAGACCGCATGTCATGCATGCATAATAATATGTCAAATAAATATTAATAAATTTCAGTTCTTTAAACTTTTTATTTGTCAATTATAAGTGTTGGACATCGACCATCTATAATTTCCATTTTTTACTTGCTTGCCTACCTCTGTTCAATAAAAGAGACATTAAGTTTAGCTTCCAAAAGGCGAAATTAGCCTGTTTTGCTGGCACCTGCGATAGTTTCTGATTTGTACGAAATCGCCTCGCGTTGCAGTCAAGTAGCTTCACCGTAGCAACAACAAATGGTGCAGCCCGCGCTCGAGCTCAACTATAATAGTTCTTTAAAAACTATAATAGTTCTTTAAAGAAAGCAAATTTTCAGTGACTGTTCAAATTCTCTATCGTAATATGTTAATAACTAATATAGTTATTATTATAGAAAATTAGTTAAGCGAATGATGGTCTATTATGAATTATGAGGAAATAGATTTTTAAACCGCAGACCGCATGAGCTTCATATTCATCCGCGTTACCGGATCTCTAAAATTTCGTCTGTTATTAAAATTGGCCCTTTTGGTTAGTTTTATAGTCGTTGCATGCAAGCCGTCTTCAGGACTTGATTTAGTCGTAGTTAAAACTTCGACTACGTTGTTTGTGAATACAAATTGAAATTGAAGTTTCAACTAGGACTAAATGAGGTTCTAGTTGGAAGTTCATCAAGTTAATTTTAACTATATGGGCGTAAGTTTCCTTGATAGGACTGTTCCACTAGAGCCTCGCCCTCTCAGGGGTTCAAATGTTGTATAGTTATGAGACGAGGGGTCCAAATGTTGTGGAATTATTTATTTAAAAAGGGATAATTTGATAGAAAGGGCCATGCAATTTACACTAGAGTCACCTTGTCGGGTGTATTCCCCTTGTCGGAGGTACGATCTGCCTGTTGGGGAAGAGTTGGCGCACCACTGCAACCCATACGATCGCAATATCATACAACAACTCGCACATGCTAGCACTGCTCGCACTAAACAGTTTTTACTTCCTTTGACAGCTTAGCATGCTTGAAATTGTACTTTCGGCCCTCGAGATGTGATTTTTCCCTGACGACCTTGCTGGAAATTCCCCGAGAGTTGGGGTGGGGGGTCCATGTTCAAGAGGTCCCCGATGGGGGTTCCCCCCCCCCCGAGATCTAGCCATTGTTTACCACAGCATTGTTGTACAACTATAAATGTGTTTAAAAAAAACTTGAAATTGTATCTTTTCACCGAGGCGTATAGAAAACCATGGTGTTTCTCTGTTGAATTTATATTATGTACAAAAAAAGGGAAAAAATGATACCACTTTTCTCTGTTGACGCAATGTTGGTCCTTTTGCAGTGCACGGTAGTGTAACCCTGAGCTTATCCTGGGGTGGAAGGTGCTGATGCTCAACATACTGCCTTTCTGCGCATACTTATATGGGGAGCAACACTGCCTTGATTTCTGCTCTAAATTCTTCTGGGAATTATTGTGGATTTTTCTTTTGTTGTGAAATTGACACTGCGCATTGAGCACCATTGGTGGAGATGTGCGCTTTATAAATCTTTATTATTAATTTATTAAATTATATATAAATCAGCAATGGAAGGTAAATACAGTGTTCGAATAAAGGACATGATAATACATCTTGAAGCATAGTTCTCAGGGAATGCTGTCCTATAAACGTCATAAATATTAAGCCACAGAGGCTTCATGGATGAACAGATTCAAATAACGAAAGATACAGTATATTACACAATAGGTACGGCTGGAAACAAATCAAGATAGCCGTTAACACTGTTAAATAAATCATCAAAGAAAGTTAACTACAGTGTTGGAATAAAGGATCTAGATGTGTATAAGAGACAGTATATATATCGAATAAAGGACATGGACATAAGGCAATTGACTAAAAAAGATGATTGAATTCGTTATCGTTTTCATAGCTTGGGAAATTTACCTGTTATAAACTTACGATTTTAACACCTCTTTTACAGACGTTGGTACAGCAAGAGCGATGACTATTGATGTGAAATTTGGATAAAAATGCTGACTTCCTCTTGCCTAGAAGAAATTACATTTTGATAGACACCATAATTGTAAACTTGCTAATGTTTCTTAGCTGTCTGGTTCATGTTGTTTTTAGAAAATTACTAATTGTTTTACACGTACACGTCACAATTTACCAACTTGGTTTACCACATGATTTGTGCTGAGAATATAAAACGCAACGTTACTTCATACTTATATGCAAATGTCGGAAAGTTAAGCCCCGTCCACACTACCAAATTTTATTTGATTTATATATGGACATACAGCAGTTTTTTTTGTCAAAGAATATTTGATAGTGTGAACAGAGCTTTAGATATTATATACGACCTCTCTTACGTCACATCCTCCGCCTCCTCCTATGAAAATCTCTCCCTGGCTCATATGTAATTTTCTTGGTTAGTTTAGAATAGCTGCTGAGACCGAATATACCCCTCTTAAAATACTTACAAATCCGATTATCATTAGTGTTTATTACTTACTTAGGCCTTTATTAGTAGTGGGAGGGCGGAGGGGAAGAAGCAATTTTAACTATGAATTTTCTGATAACTTCGGGAATACCTGTATAGATGTAATTTTGCCCTACCTGACGTGGAAATGTACCGAATACTCAGTACATTTGAAAACAACTGCGAAAAAAATCGCAAGTTGTTCTCGGGTGGTACTCGAACCCACGATTTCCAGATCACTAGCCTGGCATCATACCTCTAGAGCACAGAGCTTGCGCCTGATGGCCAGGGTTGAATTCGAGTCCTAGTAAGCAGCGGGTACTGCAGTGTTGATAGTAATTGTTATTGTCGTGATGGGATAATAGACAATAACTGGATTTGCGTCAGGAGAAACATGTATAGATGTAATTTTTTTTGCCCTACCTGACGTGGAAATGTACCGAATACTCAGTACAATAGGGAATACCCCTATTACACCAAAGGGCCCGGCAATTAATCTTGCACTGGGGCATTTTTCGCACCTAGCCACGTTGCTGTGTGTGCTTCGCTCATAAAGGCCTCTTTGGTACAATATGGGCATGACGATATCACATATGTGATACGTGTGTACAGAGACTTGTGGAAGATCGCTGTCACTCTGCACTTAGAAAATCCAAATGTACATTATTCACAACTCGCTTATAACTATTGTAACTAATATATAATATATATGATATAAAATGGACAGTACATAAATACATGCGTTTGAGGATCATGTCTCTCTTCTGATTGGTCAGCTGTGAAGTTTACTTGAAACTCCGGAAGTGTCCATTGAAGTCTAAGGGCCAACCTGTTATTTAGAGAAGTTGTACGCTAGGTAAGTGTGTTATGTAATAATTATATCAACTAGAGGGTGCGCAAGTAAGTAAGTGACTACTGCTTCTTTTTTTTATTTTATAACAGAGGCGCAACCGTAAAAAAGATGCGCATCAATAGCAAAATCAGTATAAACTTAATTACTGTGATTAAATAGAACATGAAAATACAATAGTAGATGTATATCATGAGTAAATTTCCGTAAGATTATAATGGAAACGTTATTGGGTTTCGTAAGCAGGACTTTTTGCAGCGATCTAGTTAATCCTTTCGTAGAAACCTTTGATGGAGAAACTGTACCATTAATTAGCCACTGTAGAGCGAAACACTCCGGCTGATGATTATAAGTGTCCTTATATTCTGTCTCTTATACACATCTAGATGTGTATAAGAGACAGGTATTGTGTTATTTAAATCAGTAACATTAACCTAAAAAATTATTACCCTTGGAAATAGAATTTCTATGTATCGACAGTAGAGTCCCTCCTTTGGGACACCCTATCCAGGGGACACCCCTATTAAGAGGACACTTCAGTGAAACGTTCAATGATTTTTTTAAACTGTGCTGGTGATTCAATTAGGCCTATATTGAATTTGAATAATGTTACTCCGCACGAATCTAAAAGTCAAGACACTTATCTATTTAGTACCAGTGTCGACTGTAGTATGTAAATGGTAACACTGCAAAACAACTGACTACTAATAAGACACGGCCAGCAAATGCGGAAGTACGTAAAGAACCAACGTGTGACCGCGAACAGCTACCGGTCCAGAGAGAGGGAGAGAAAAAAAAAAGATTTCGAAGAAAATGAACCAGACGTTGACACAAGATGTTAATACTCAACATAATTATATTATTCGTTGGAAATAAGTATGTATCGTCTCAAAATTTGCACTTAAAGTAATGAACTAATTGTTTTAATGATTTAATTGTTGAGTTGCCCAAGTACAGGAGCGTACTATTATCAGGATGGGTCGGTCATCATTGTTATTATACTTAGGCCTATATATGTCTAGGCCCTATTCTAGAGTACATTGCCAACCATATCATTCACCATGTTGATTGCAGTGATTGATTGAATGATTGGTAAAGTGGCAACTATTGCTAAAATATACAGTAAATGTATGAAAGGTATTAGATATAAGCAATAAAGTGACCATTCAAACATCATATGCCTATTTTGGGCTCTTCCTTTGTAAAAAAAAAAGAAGAAAAAAAAGACCCGCCCTGAGATTTTCTAGATTTTCGGTCTGCAGGGCTTGAGTCTTGAGCAAAATTTTTTTTTTTGCCATATTTGTACACGTTATATCAAACAAACCTACGGAATATATATCTTACACAATAACATTTTAAATAAACACTATTTTCAGTTGAATCAGTACTCGCGAGTCATAGTCACTTGTAAGCACACGTCATATTCCAGCTCACACGTCGTAGTCGCGCGTACTTACACGTCAAAACCAAGGCTTCTATACACATACAGATACAATTAATTAATATAGTAGATGAAAGAATTGTCTGAGAGTTCTTTTAAATACCACATTAATGGCAAATTGCTAAAACAATGTCCTACAAAACGATAGTCATTCATAGAAACAATTCGTAAACCAAAACGTCTGCGTTTTGTAAGACATAGGCGTATAGGTGGCCCAGCCTATTTGATAACACATTCTGATTGACCAGTTGTTTAACATTGTTCCATTATACCAGTCATCGCTGTAGACGGTAAGATCTCGAGAATCCCGCCCATGTTGACAGTCGAAAAGCATTAGGGTTGATGAATGTTTCTGCCTTCATTTAAAATGTAACGTCAATTGTCATTGCTCTAGCTAAACCAATTTCTGCAAATGAGACACGTTATACTTGAGTTGGTTGAGTACGTGCTAGTTATAGTTTAGATATTAATAATAAACATCGAATGTCATCAAATTGTAATGTGTTTATAGTTGGTTTATAGGCATATAAATGTTTCAATGGTAAATATAGGCCTACTACGACGTATGTATAATAATCCAAAACTATACTGGTAAACATCCACATTCATGAATAATAATAATAATAATAATAATAATAATAATAATAATAATAATAATATTAATAATTTAAAAAAATAATAACAAATCAAGATAGATGAGGGCGTGTTTGTATGTGGGTTGTTCGGCAGTGGCTCCAGAAATTTCCCGAGAGGAAGGCCCAAACAAGGGGCCTACTAGTGCCCCTGTCTCTTGCGACACCACTGGGTGAAGATGTGTTGTGGTAGGTAGTTTACTTACCTCCTGAGTACCAACTCTGGCTTGTGGCTGCTTTGCTGTAAAGTATTCTGGGATTTGTACTGTATCCTTCCCATGAAGGGCAAGACGTACCTGCCTCAACTACAAGCCACCCCACGTCACACGTACAGCCACAGTAAGCGTTGCTCATAAAGAAGTTTCGTCTGTTAATAAAATACAGTTGACACTGTCAATGCATGGAGGAAGGAAATTTAGAAGGAGATCTCTCAAATGTATGATCAAAAGACTAAAGTAAAATACCGCCTTACTAAGAAACTCATAAATAAACCATGAATAAACTGTCTTATCTTATCGATAGGCAGGGGGTCGACAGTTCGCTGGTTAATCTGCGCATGCTCCCAGCTGTTTTTCCTTCCTCCATGGTCAATGTATGTAATCCGTTTTCGTGACAATTCCCTAATTTTGTTCAGAGTGTTAAACTGGGCACACACTGCGTCAGACTCATACGACGATCGTACGACGAATCCTACTTCGCTCCAGTGAGCGCTATACAGAGCGTCGCCGTCTGCTGACAGTTGGTGGCAGCCTGAGCTGATTGTCAAAATGATCCGTTGCGCGCGCGTCGTGGCGTTGCGTTCTCCATAGAATCACTTCGGCCGACGACCGTCGGACGCAGTCAGTGCCCGGCCGGCTTTAAAGACAAGGGACATTGTGTGGACATTAGGGAGCTTTCGATTGCACGACGACGGTAGGACGTAGAACGTAATGACGTCACGAAAAGTCATCTGCGCATGCGAGAATGTTAAGGTCACCTCGTCGAGTAGAATCTGGAACGCAATTTGGCCAAATCTACGTATGCAGAAAACGTAGGACGCCATGGAGTAGGGACGGTCAACCATGAATGATTCCGTTCTAGCGTCGTCGCACAAATCGAAGCTCCCTTATTTCGCACTGTGTTAACACACTGTTACTATGTCTTCACTTTGATTACACACAGTGCAAACCGGAAAAATCTTTTGTTTAATTTTAATTCATTCAGCAGATTTCTCAGTCATCATTTTGCACGTTATAGTTTCATCTGGTTCCAAACTTTACTTAATTTCTATAATTCAATAAAAAATTATTAAAATGATGTATTTTATCTTTATTGTTGATATTTGTGATATGTTTAATGTGTTCTTTTTGATTTTCTTCTCTTGTTTCCCGTTGCGTCTGTCTCTTCCTGTCTTTTGTATTTTTTGTTTTATAGAAATAAATGAAACAAAATTAAGTAAATATTCAACACAGTGAACAAATCGTCTTTCACTCAGTGACTTTTTTTCTAAGGGCGAATCTATTAAATAGGCATAGGCCAGTACATTCTTCATAACATAAAAAATAATAATTAAACAATATACGATCGATACACTTGCAGAAATCGGCGGCACAAATAGGCCTATGTATATCATGAGTAAATTTCCGTAAGATTATAATGGAAACGTTATTGGGTTTCGTAAGCAGGACTTTTTGCAGCGATCTAGTTAATCCTTTCGTAGAAACCTTTGATGGAGAAACTGTACCATTAATTAGCCACTGTAGAGCGAAACACTCCGGCTGATGATTATAAGTGTCCTTATATTTATATAAAGATAAGTAAAATAATGATTTAATAAATAACTTTAAGGTTCATCAATTATATTTGTCATTTTTGCAGTGGTACAGAACATACTCTTTTCGATGAACCCCGACCTCCAGAAAGAGTACACAATAAAACCTACCTTACACTTCCATCATGCCCTGCTATCGAAAAATAATTAATGGTAGCGGTTTTAATGTCGTCCCACGGCGAACTTTCAAGGTTATCCCTTGAGAACCATGACGTACTAGTCGCACTGACACTGTTGAAAATAACCGACACCACTTCTTCATTTGTAGGCGAGAATAAAGTCAGTTTTACCTGTAGCGAAGAGAAATTTCCAAGATTGTTTTAAATATTGAGCTTGTAGGTGTACCATATGTGAACGATAAACATCTTGTGACACGGTGGGATTCTAGACGGTTTAGCATTAATTACACTACGAAGTTTAGATTTTCTCCATGATTATTTTAGATGGATTCTCCATACAATCAGTACGTGCACGTGCGTTGAAATGTGTGATGTTAAGAGTGCGCATATCCATCAGGCGCGTAAATATTAGGCCCATATACAGTGCATGTATATACAATATTACTAAAATATATACATTATATTATATATAATTATATAAGGGTACATATGGGGCTATAATACATATATATAATATATAAAATATATATTATATTTCTCTTACGAAGAGGCAATATATTATACTACTGCCAGTTAAGCTACCTTACCTTCTTAATACCAAATGATGACCAGTTATTTAATATTGCATTGTTTCTGTAGTGCTTATTACTAATAAGAAATCTATCAGCATGATAGCTCGATGCTCCTGCACCCGTATTCCAAGCATCGTAAATACTCAGTCCCGTCATGGATATTCCCTTGAATACTCGAACCCATTCCTTACCTAAAAAACGAAAATTACAATACATCACCTCCTTTTTCAAAATTGTATGAATCTAAACAAACATACTACCATCTCCACACTACTTCTCGTCCAACCTGTTCTTCTTATTCCATCGAACATGCTTCATGCTCCACGTGTCAGACATGTTCGTACTGGCGAGCGATCTTTCTTTTTCTCAGCTCCTACACTTTGGAACTCGCTTCCAGCTGATCTTCGTAATATCACCTCTCCCAGTTAATTTTTACTCACCTTAAACTCTACGGTACCTATTTTTTAGATATTTGCACTTATATGTTTTCTGTTATTTTTAGGGGATACTTCTGCAGCTGTTTTTCAATTTTTCTCTTTTCGCCGATGGTAAGTTATTTCTTAACTTTAATAGGCGCTTTAGTATTATTATTGTTATTATTATCATCATTATTATTATTATTAAAACATTAATAAGGACTAACATTTCATTAATCTATCTGTATAATCTTTCTGCCAACGAGTTTTGCACATCTGTGATCATAAGGAACTAGTTTTTCTGTCTGTGATTTACTGAAGGCTGAATGTTATAATTTACTGATGGTTTATATGTTGTTTTTTTAAGGTGGCATTATATAATATTATAGGCCTGAAACTTATCATTAACTATGTTTTAAAGGTACTGTTTTCTCTGTTTTTTGTTTTTTTTGTTTTTTGTTTTTTTTTTTTGGCCTAGTTTTCCATAAAAATTGATATACGTTATCGCCGGCAGTTTTCGGCAACTCTGATTGTTCTTATTCTTTTTCCAATATTGTACAGACCACCAGCAATGGTGTATTACGTATATTGTGTGCATACTGGGTGCAGAATTGTGCAGGTACATTCACGATAATTTTTATTTTTATTTTTATTTATTTTATTTATTTATTTATTTTTTTGCTTCTTGTATGTATAGGTTACTGCCGGAGGTTGAGGCTTGAGGACCTCAAACTGTTCTTGAAGCAGTTTAGCGATGCGCTGTCCACCAATTGTTGGGGCAGTCAATTCCACAAACGGATGGTGTCAGGAAAGAAGGAACGCTGGTACACAGATGCCCTTGCGAAGGGGACGACATACTTCCGAGTGTGGCCTCTAAGTTGCACACCAGCAGGAATTAGGTGGGTAAGTGGGACATCTACAAGGTTGTTTACAATGCGATACACCATCTCAACCTTGGCAAAGGCTCGTCTCTCTTGTAAAGGTTCCCATTGCAATTTATTGATCATAGCTGTTACGCTGCTCTGCCTTCTATAGTCGCCAATGACGAACCGTGCATAGAGCCGTTGTGCCATCTCTCTTCTTAATGTTAACTACAGCTGATAGATCCCATATGATACTTGCGTATTCCATGGTAGGACGAACTAAGACTTTATAACAAAGCTCCTTCGTTTTTTGTGGGCACTGGTGGATGTTGCGTTGTAAGAATGCACGGATTTGGTTTGCTTTGTTGCAGATGTTACTAATGTGCTTATTCCATCCAAGATTCTTCTGTATATTGATTCCGAGGTATTTTTCAGATTTTGCATCCTCAAGAGTGTGTCCATGAGTATTGTAAGGTTTTATGATTGGGGTTTTCTTGTTTGTCACTCGCAGAATTTGACATCTGTTTGAGTGAAACTTCATCAACCAATCAGACTCCCATTTCTGGATCATGTCAAGATCATTTTAGAGATGAATAGCATCTTCTTCCTTATTGATATTCCTATATAGAATACAATCGTCTGCAAACAATTTGACTGTTGTCTGTTGAGAGACGTATCCTGGGAAGTCATTGATGAAGAGAAGGAAAAGCAAAGGTGCAATAACACTACTTTGTGGCACACAAGATGGAATGGGTGTGCTTGCAGATGAAGCGCCGTTGATTCCTTATACAGCTGGACAGTACATGCTCTAATGTTTTGCAAATAATTGATGTGAGAGAGACAGGTCTGTAATTCTCTGCCTTGTTTCTTGCACCTCGTTTGAATATAGGCACTACATTAGCATTTTTCCAATCTTCAGGTATACTGCCTTGGTCAACCGATGCCTGGAACAAAATGGTAAGAACCGGTGCTAACTCACCAGCTAAGACCTTCAGAAGTCTTACAGAGATATCATCTGGCCCAGTTGCCTTGTTTGTATCCATTATCTAACAATTTCTTCACTCCGGCTGATGATACTCTGATGTTGCTCATAGATGGATAAGGACATGGTCCAAGGTCTGGTATTGTTGAGTGATCTTCGTCCTTGTTTAAAACAGATGAAAATTGATCATTTAGGATATTTGACTTAATCTGGTCGTCCGAGTAAGTCACTCCATTGGGTGCTTTTAAAGGAGATACATCAGTGTTATCACACTTCGTGCTCTTGATAAAGCTCCATAGACGTTTTGGATTGGAACTTGATTCTGGACTAATATTTCTGTTCACATAATCATTGTAAGCTTTTTGACTTGCTGATCCGGTTGCCTTCTTTAAGTTTTGATAACATTGTATGTGTTTTGGATTCTTTGTTTTCCTGGCTGTTACAAAACTTTGTTCTTACGTCTCGAAAGTCGTTTTACATCTCTTGTAATCCATAGTTGATTGAATAGGGTAGATGAAAACTTGGAAGGGATCCCCTTATTAAATAAGTCTCCAAGGGCATCCTTAATATTTTCCCACAATCGATGAACTGAACTGTCAGTGTTGAAAGTTCTGATAAACCTGTGTTGAAAATGTACGCATTTGCCTTCATCCTGTCAATGTTGGAACGTTTCCATAAAAGGATTTTACGTTTAGTTGGTTTTGAGCGGCTAGGAATTATGGAAGAAACTACAAGGACGGCTTCATGGTCACCGACTTCTGGTATTACCTCACATTTATTCACAAGTGATGAACGATTCGTCAGAAATAAATCCAATACATTTTCTCCTCTTGTAGGGTGTGAGTCACCATTTGTTGAAGTCCACAGTCTTCAATCATTTTCAAAAAGCGTTCGTTAAGCTTGTTTGGATGCTGATGATTATCAATTGTAACAGTGTGCCAATTCATTTCAGGCAAATTTAAGTCTCCTCCCAACCACAGCACGGCATTTCTAAATCGACTTTTGGACCAATGACACTTTAATATAGATGGATTCACAATCATTATCAATTTCCAATGGCTCAATTTTCATATCTTTGCGAAAAGCTATCAAAACTCCACCGTAGCCATCTTGTCGATCCTTTCTGATTATTTCATAACCAGGTGGGAAGATTTCTGATCTGTGGATATTCATATTAAGCCATGTTTCAGTGCCTATAATAATTGATGGATCAGAAGAAATAATAAGATTTGCAATTTCCTCTCGCTTGTTTTTTATACTCTGAAAATTTATATTAAGTACCGGTATCTTCAAGCTTCCTATTGTTTGGTGTTTCTGGGTGCTTTGTGGTAGACGAGATGAACTTGCCAATGGAGGTCCTGGACTTGACTTAACGTTCAATGTTAAGATGACAAGCTTCCATACAATGCGATAGCTGTGAAAGACATGACAGACTCCAGGCTTGGCAGTGTAGGCTCCAGATCCTACGGTAGATCAGGTAAGGCTGGCTAGGAACCTGAGCCAGGCACAGTTATTAGCTTTCTGTACCATCACCCGGCCTAGCTAAAAGGCGAATTTTTATTCACAAAGTTGAATTTTTATTACACAAATCAATGCACTATTGATGAAATACAGTTCAATGTAAACGACAAGCTTCCATGCAATGTGATTGCTATGAAAGGAATGGCAGACTCCAGGTCCTAGTCAGGTAAGGCTGGCTAGGAGCCAGGAGCTAGGCCCAGTTAGAAGCTTCCTGTACTATCACCCGGCCTAGCTACAGGTGAACTTTTAAGAACTCCAGAAAACAACATTTAAAGACAGCTGCTATTTTCTGAGCAAATATGAATGATGATCAAAACCCTTGCAATGATTTGTTACGGTTTTTAGGTGAGATTTGTAAACCCAGAAACTGTTAAAGCTAGAATTTTAGGAGAGTGCCCACAACAGTTCCTACAACCAGCATGCACACATTCGTTCGAATAGGGAGCCTTCCCGGTTGCATAACTGAACAAAATTACCCCCATCTTCAAGAAAGGCTCAAAAACTAACCCATAAAAAATATTGTCCTATTTCCTTAACATCTCTATTCTCCAATCCTCTTGAACTCATTGCCAATAAGAACATCTTATCTCAATTTAGTAAATACAACATCCTTTCTAACAATCAGCATGGCTTTCGAGGACTGGGCTGATATATACTCGTCAAGAGTGGATGCGTTGATGCTGCTTTCTTAGATGTGCATTCGACTCTGTGTGTTTTCCACTTCTACTAAAACAAGCTCAATTCTTTTGGGATCCATGGCACTAATTTGTCATGGATAACTGATTTCCTTTCTAACCGCTTACCAAAAACAAAACAAAAAACAAACAAACAAAAACAAAAAAAAACAGTTGTATCAGGCGAATCTTCAGCGTGGACAAAAGTGTGTTCCTGTATTCCCCCAAGGCACAATCTTGGGCCCTACTCTACTTCTATTTTTTTTTTTATAAATTGCATGTCTGTTGATGTATACTCTACTATACAACTATACGCCGATGACTGTTTATATATATATATATATGCTTACCTTCTATACATTTTATTAATCTCTATAGGGGAGGATTTGTAACCAGAGCCGAATATATACGGCTCTCGATGTAAATATTACCATGTATAGGGGCCTAATGCATAACTACAATATATGACAATCACAAGGTGAGAAGGTAGGCTACGCTGATATTAAACAGGCGTAGAGTGTGTCATACAATTGAAATGTCAGCTAACCAGTACTATGGAATAGACCTAAACAATAATCAGGATATAGGCCACACAATTAACAGGTACCGTTGTTCCGTACACGGTTTTTATTGTATCAATTAAAAAGAAAGGAAGAAAAAAGCATTGCCATGTATTCTTATTATAAATCTATGTGTTTAGGCATGTTTGTATAACATACACAGGCCTACCTATCCTGCAGCCCAGAACCTCTGTTCGCAAACAAACATTACCCATCCAATCTTTGGGACGAATTCTGATAATTACAGCTTGTATCACTGGATTAAAATAGTGTGCTCGTATGCTATTTTTGTCACTGTTGCCATCAAAAACCTATCAAAAAAAGTAAAATATTATAATTATTAATTAATAATTAGATCTAATATTGAATAATGACATTTGCTTGAGCATTGAATGTAGCAAATTAGTGTATAATTTCGATAGTAGGCTGCCAAAATATTATTTAGTTTTTTCAAGCCTTTTATGCATTATGTTTTTTATTATCATTACTAGAGGTACACGCCAACACCGCAGTGTTTCGAATCCCGTCGGAGGCATTTTATTACACAATGATTTTTCATAGGAATTTATTCGTTGAAAATCTACAGGGTAGGCTACGATGTTCCATCATGTCCTTATTAAACACTGTATATGTACCTTTGATGATTTATATTATATTTATTCAACAGTGTTTACGGCTAACTTCCTTCAATATCATATATAATATAAGACAGTATTTCTAGCCGTATTTCCAGATTTATCTGGCCGAACGCCCTCTTAAGGCATAGCATTGTGTAATACAATGGCATATATATATATATATATATATATATATATTTATTTATATA